TTTTAAATTATTAGTAAACTGAAACTAAAGATTCAAAGCTTTTTCTAAATTAAATAAATATAGTAAACACAGCTAGTGCTTAACATACCTTTATGAAAATATGTGTGGTATATTTAACCATGGTGTTTCAGTAAAAGTACAGCATCTTGATAAGTTCTCTGTGTCTTTTATGTTCCCCAGTGTGGCCAGACTCCATTGATGATAGCTGCTGAACAAGGCAATCTGGAAATAGTGAAAGAATTAATTAAGAATGGAGCTAACTGCAATCTGGAAGATTTGGTATATATTAAAATAATTTACTCATTTGTCTTCATTGTCTTTTCCTTAACTTTGCTGTTTCTTTGTTTTTAAGAAGTAATTCTGAAGTAGTAGATTAAAAATTGTACTTTCAGATATATCTCAATGTTGCCTAATGGGCTACATCAGTTTTTTAAAAGAGTAATAATACAGGAGAGAAATTTTTCCTTTCAGTGAAGGATCTCAGCTTTTCATGTTTCTGTATACAAATGGCACTAGTGGAGTAGAGAGCACGTACACGTACAGTTATTTGCCTGCCTAGAATATATCCACGAATGAGTCATGTTGTTAAGTAACGTCCCGTAATGGTAACTTATAATAAATATCTTTACATATGATAATGGCCAGAAAGATGTGGTCCCTTCTGATATCACTCTGAGGGTATCACCATTCCAAGAGGTTATATTTCTTCTAATTTTCCCTGTTTTTCTTGGAATTGCTTTTGAGGATCACACGGCTACATCTGTTTTGTTTTTTAATTCAATAATCATTTGAATTAAATTATGATTATGAATAAAAGTTAAAATAGGATACTTACATCCTTTATTTAAAAAATAAAGGAGAATAGTTCGTTTTTTCTCACAGTTTCTAAACTTATCATATGGGATTGCTCTAGTTTCTTAAGCCTGTGAATGTGCTCTAATTTGATTACAGCCTCTTTGATTTCAATTTATAGTAATGGTTGCTGGCCACAGGATTAGCTTTGAGGTTTTGATGTTCATCTTTTCTCCTTTTTACAAAACACAGTGTATGATTAGAAGTCCAGTGCGAAGACTGGACAGTTGTGAAACCATTTCTACACCATTATTAGTGAAATAAGTAGACAGATAAATTCTTAAGAGACTTCAGTATTGTTGTAGAGTAGTTTAGAGTGGATCAAATCATGTCAATTTGGTATGATCATTTGGTATGTAAATTCAGATTTATTTTTCCTCACTTTGGAATGTTATTTTTGGTTTTAAAATGGTAACATTTTTGTGTAAATGTTCAAGGATAATTGGACAGCACTTATATCTGCATCAAAAGAAGGGCACGTACACATCGTGGAAGAGCTACTTAAATATGGGGTTAACTTGGAGCACCGTGATATGGTATGTATGTTTTTTACAATATGTTCTTAATTAAATGAAATCTTGTTAATAACAGATGTGTATGAAATCTTATATTTTTATGTGTGAGGTGATATCATAATAATGTTTTTAGGATTTGGGGTCGAACATCGAAATGACCCTTGAGAATATTTTAGGACCCAGGTGTTATGATGTACTTTAATATTTTCCGTTTATTTCAGAGTTTAAAATTCTGAAATAGTGTTAAAAACAACTCATTCCCCTTCAATAAATGAGTGTTTAAAACTTTGAGAAAATTGATACCTTTTGTACTCTGAGGGACATCATATAGTTTAAAAATACTTGTCAGTTTGAAGTTTAAATTTTCAGAACAGTGTTTACGGACTTACTTTACAGTGTAATTCTGTTTAAATAATGCTATCTGTACACATTAGAGGTTTAACAAGATGTGATCCTTAATTATCACTTAGCTCTTATTTGACCTTGGCATCTGGTTAAAGCATAAAGGTGATGAAAGGGATTATTTCTGGCTTACTTTAAAATGTTTAACCTTTTCAAAAGTTAATTTTATCAGTAGAAGAAAGGAAAGAAATTATCTGCCGTGATATATAAAACATATATTACT